AGATAGATAGATAGATAGATAGATAGATATGATGAGATAAAAAGAAAGAAAAAAGAAAGAATAAAGACAGAGAGAGAGAGAGATGCGAAAACAGTTCAGATTCATAGTCTGCTGGGTGGCAATCGTGTCAAGACTAAACCCTGAAAAGTTTAAGAGTTTCTGTCTGATTTGGCTGCGTAATCTTTTTAAAAAAAATGTGATGTGAAGTGAAGAAAATGTCATAAAAACGAATTTATGATAGTTTCAAAGTCGCACTGAACCCAATAGTACACAGCCTGAGTCGTTACGTACTACGCCCGAACTCCCCAACTGACGGGTGAGAAGCAAGCCTATTTGGGGGCCTCGGGTAGGGCTTTGTGACTCTCGCTAACTTAACAACATTCCTTTTTCTTCTACCTATATTTATATGCGTTACAAATTAAACTAACCACAACTATTAAAGGATAAAAAAATTTTCACGGATTTTGACGTCATTTTTGGGTGTTTTTTTTTTCTTTCGTCCAAATCCGTGAATTTATTTTATTCGTGTCAACTCCCGAAAAAAACACGATATAAAATTCACTATTTCTTATCCATAATGTTGAATGGGTTAAAATTATTCAACATTTTTAACAAGAACAATCTCAAGTTGATGTTAAAAATTGCCGCAAAACATTGTTGATTAATTTAAGATGTAATGCTCTATTATGAAATGTCTCTAATATGTATTTAGATATATTGTATTTATTATCAATTGTTCTAGTTGAATTGTTCATCTATATTGCATATGATCATTTATTGTATATAATTAGGTTACAATAAAATTTACGTTTTATATAAATACTACCTTATGAAAATTAAGATGTAGCAGTGCGGGGGCCCGTATCATGGTTTTGGAAGGGGGGGTCATAGATTGTGTGGGGAACGAGACCTTTGCACGGGCCCCGTTGTGCATAGTATATCTTCCTCCCCAATTCATCAATTTTCAAGTTTTTTAGTCTTCCAGAACGATCTTTTTCCTTGTATTGAGGATCTAAAGATAAAGTTTTTTTTTTCTTAAGAAATAAAACAAAACATTCTTGACAATTTTAGTTTGAAATGTTAAAGTTCGCCTTGGACGCGACACAGTTTTCCTCATTTTCCGTCTCTCATAATAAATCCACATTTTTCTTGCGAAAAATAGAAAAACAAAACTTTTAGCACCGAATGATTTTCCTTTCTACAAGTTCATCTAGAACCCATTCTACTAGTTTTAAAGAGATGAATCAACTTCAAAGACACTTCTAAGATTTCTCTAATATTATACAGAAGATGGTGTTGGAAATCAGTAATATTACTGATCCTGACCTGGCGTCTCGGCTTCAGTCACTTTCCATCCGTAATATACCTTGTCTTTGCCTTTTTTATAAATATTTTCATGGTAATTGTTAGGGGGAACTCTTTGCTATAGTACAATGACAATGGATTGTACATATGGGGACTGGTTAGGATCTTCATAGAGACAATGGGGTATTATGGTGGATGTAGTAAGAAATGTAAGTAAAAATACGTTTTTTTTTGTTTTTTTTTTTGTTTTTTTTTTTTTGGTATTAGTAATATTGTGGCATGTTTAGGTCAGTGTTTATGGCTAGCTAAGTTTAAAGTTAAGACAGAAGAAGACTGTCCTTTTCCCCATTCCCCATTTTGGCCTTGTGCCACATTTTGTAAATATTTACAAATAAATATCACTCTTCGCTATAGTACTTAGACTTTTTGAATTTAAGTGCAGTACTAGAATGGCGGCATCCACAAACATAAAATCATCAAAAAGAGAAAAATTAGCATAATAATCTATGTTCAGCAGATGTTCTTATTTCAATTTCCTGACGACAAGCGGCACTCATGCATTGTTTTCCGCTCCAAAACTGATTTTGAATTCAGATTTGTTTACATCTGTGCTCTGCCGTTGACGTTTTTTCAATTACATTTCAATCATGATTTAGAATACATTTTTCCCATATCTCCGAAGAAAAGTCTCAATGCAAGTGCTAATTCTAAGCGTAAGACTATATCGCTGGAAGATTGAAATTAATTATTTTATTCGGAATACTGTACATACATATTATAAATACTGTAATAGGCAATGGGGAGGGCCTATTTACCGTTTATAGTCTGGTTATTCCGACTTAAGTCGTGTTTCAACCTAAATCATGACCTCTGGAACCAATTAACGACATAGGATGAGGCATAGCTGTACACATTTAGGCAGATTATTTATGTAAAGTAGAAAGAGGGTTGGTCCGGAAAGCGATCCCTGGGAGGGGGGGCGCTAACAACTACCTTCAGGGACCTACTCGTTAGGAAGCACTTTATAATTGATAAATTTTTTCCAGTAATTCCATAGCTAGAGAGCTTCTAGTAATCCTTTACTGTCAGAACAGAATTATAAACAATTTCATTATATTGACGGACAATTGTTTTTAATTTGTTTAGTTTACTGATGTATTGGATGAAGCAGTATTTGACACACTAGAGTCGTCTTTTAATTTTTGTTTCATAATTAAAAACTTGTCCATTTTATTTTAATTGAACGTTATGTGATAAAAATATAAAAAAATTTAAAAAAAAACCCTTCAGTCTGACCTACACGTTCTCACTACTTCGGACACAATTCAATAAGTGCACAAAGAAGAATTGCCCAGTCATTAGCGAAATCAACTTCGGATGATTTCGACATATATCGGTGTTCATCGGCAAGTCTTTGTCAAATCGCGCCACCTATGGACGTGTCGCGCGACCTCATTTCGCAGACTCAACCCACTTTA